CACATATATATATATATATATTTATATCTATGTATATTCGTGATGATGTTGACATTAACTAAAAAAATCCCCGTTGTAGCTTCTTTCGCCGGTCTCTTTTATCTCTCCCCTCTACCTCGCCGGTAAATTTCATCTTTTGGATAGCCGGGGTGAAGTGTGGAAAACATTCCTATCGCTTTTCCCAACACTTGGAGCGGGACTTATTGCGGCAACCAGAATCATGGACGCACGACATCATCCCTTTGATGTGCTCTTCGGCTCATTGCTGGGTATTTTATGTGGCTACGTCGCCTATCGCCAATATTTCCCTCCCCATTCAGAACCTTGGAGGAAAGGCCGTGCGTACCCAATTCGAACCTGGGGTACCGATCCCACTGCTCCCTCCCGCTCCCGGTTTGATATGGGAGGATCCAATGATTCGGTAGCGCCGCTGCGGCGTACAGATGATTTAGAGTATCAAGCTACCTCCACGGGTCAAGACGATGAATTCACGCGAAAACCCCCACCTGTTCGCCGGATGTCTAGCGACCGGATATCTTCTGCAGACCCTTACCTGCGGCGAAGACAGGAACTGGAGCGAGAATATTCGTCGAGCGGTGACTCCGCTGGAGTCGCGTTTGAAATGCAACCGGGTTCTGGGAGCCGGTCGCATCGCAGCGAGTCCACAACCTACGTAAATACCCCATATAAACCGCCACAAACGAGCTACCAGCCATACCCAGGACGAACCGCATCGCCAGCTGCACCGTCCACTCCGCCGCTCCCGACTAGCAGTGGACACCCCAGCTCCCATGTCGAGCCACCGAAAAGTTGAATAAGAAACAACCCTTATTCATAAGAACGCACTAAGTCTGAAGTAATTAGAGAATCTTATTTTAAAAGAAAGAATAGACGATTTGCCTAATTCGGGGGTCTTCACGATATTTTAATTTATGATATTTATTATGCCACACTTTTTTACCTAACATATTTTCCTACCCTTTTTCTTTTCTAATACCAGGCCATCGTTTTCCGTTTCCGTTTTCCGTTTCCGTTTCCCTTCGCTAGCAATGATGGCTTGAACCTCAATGCTTATTTTTTTCCCCCCGTTCTTTGACCACCAGCGTATGCAAAACAGAATTAAATCGTGACTGATACCCCTTCTAATTTCTGCAAGCCTGCTGCCTACATACATATTAGGCTGCCGTGGTGCAACTTCTCATTCTTTATCTTGAAGTGTTATTACCTCTTCCTTTCCTTTCCCCGCCTCTACACATTCGCGCCGTTTTTCCCTTGCGGAAATGAATTTATCCCCTCCCCCTTCTTTTGTGGTTGAGGTGGGTTCCCGGCTCTTATTGTTTTTTTATTGTTTTCCATTGTTTCCTTTCCGTATTATCTCCCCCAATTCCTTCAAGCTCATTTCTGCGTGGATGCTTTCCGGGGCCGAATTTATATGAGTTGGCGCCTGGTTTCTTTCTTCTTCATGCTTTTTCGGCCGATGATTCCCCTCCCACCTCTCTGTGATACTGTAAATCTTGGTTTTTGCCCATTTTTTTAATATATATTAAATTGCGGGTTTTGTTTTACTTTTGATGATGAGGGATGTTCCTTTTGTCACCCTTTTTGTTTTGGTTTGAACCATACAAATAGGGGTATACCCTTTAGAGGCGATGATAAGGGTTATGTCATGGTGTGTATATACACAGTCAATTGCCGTTTTTATCTCCGAGGTACAGTTTTGATTGTTCCCGTATATACAAATTTACGACTTGTGGAATAACTCATCTTTTTCTTGCTTCTGTTCTTTTTCTTTTTCTTCTTTTTCAGCTTTTTTTCAGCTGGTGGTGCTCTTTTTCACTTCCTGTAAAGCGGCTTCATCCCCGTTGTGTATTTGCATCTGCTGCTACCACCGCTATTATGCTTCATCAAGTGACTGACTGACCACCGACCCTTCTGATTTCTTTTTTTCTTCGCTGTAAATTTGTATACTCTTCGAGCAATTTTCATCTTAACAAAGCGCAGCCCAGTGCAGCATGGGTAAATAGCGCGTATGTTACTCTATACATGTAATATCATAGTTTTATGTACAGGATATTTCTTTTGCCCTCACCTTCTGGGATAGGGATAGCAAGAGGCCTACGTATGATTACATAATCCGACGTTGCCATGGACACGGATCTGATTAGATTCGGCTGCGGGAGTCGACCAGATCAGAGGAAAACTTTATCATCAAAGTTTCCATCGATCCCGTCAGAGAGTAAAAATAGCAAACGTGTAGATGTGGAGTATAGAGTACATCGCACAGGGCTTGTTTCCGATCCTTGATAGAGCGCAATAATGTCCATTATTGCGTCTCATATCCTTGAGCACTGCATCTTTCTTCCGCTGCCGGGCTTATCGATAGTCAGCTAACCAGACGCCCAGATCTCGGCAAACTACTGGTCTGGTGAGCTACTGCTGATGTTGACCCCGCCATTATCCCTCTTTGTCTCGAGCTTCGATCTTCCCAGCCACAAAACAAGTTGCAATCAACCACCCGCTCTTAAAAACCCACCAACTTCAGCCTTGCAGCACCAACGCCCCGACTGGTCGGCCAGGTGGACGACTCTCTCCTTGTGGTTGGCTGTACTCCGTATTTAATACCTCTGTGCAACGTCGATCCTGTTCCTTCGTTTCATGCTTTGAACCCTTCACTCTATACTTTATACAACTGCCCATCATATACCATCATATATGCCCCATCTCAAATCGTGACGAGGACGAAAACAATCATCTCCTCCCCAATCTCTCAGAGTACGGCAGCGTCACATGCAGCCACCGCACCCTCATTCTTTTTAAAAAAGGAAAAGAAAGGAAAATCCGAGGTCACAGTCAGATAACTACCAAGCTTGTATTGGTTTGGTTGG